GTTCCTAACTTCCTATTTAAAGTCTTGTTTGGACAACTCTTTTGCTTCTGGTGATTTAGCAGTTCATCTATAGAATAACAATAGGAGAGAGAGAGACTGGAGAAATGGTCAGCAATCAATTTGATGAGATTCAGCAATCACAAATGCAAAGTCCTGGACTTGGGATGGGATAACTGCATGCATAAATACTGACTGGGGAATGACTGGCTAGGCTGCAGTACTGCAGAAAAGGACCTGGGGGTTACAGTAGATCATAAGTAGAAGATCAGCCAACAGCGTGTTCTTGTCACCAAAAAAGACAACAACATACTGGGTTGTATCAATAGCAGTATCACTTGCAGATTAAGGGAAATAATTCTTCAGCTCAGTTCACCATGAATGAAGGCTCACCTGAAGTATTTTATCCTGCTTTGGGTCTTACACTTCAAGGAAGATGTGGACAGACTGGAAGGAGTTCAGCATAGAGTGACAAAAATGGTTAGAGGCCTGAGAGAGCTGAAAGAACAAAGGTTATTTAGTTTGGGGAAGAGAAAACTGAGGGAGGATTTGAAAACCGTCTTCAAATACCTTAAAGGTGATTCTAGAGACAGGCTATTCTCTGTGTCCGTAGAGGATAGGACTGTGAGCAATGGGCTGAAGCTGCAGCAGAGGAAATTTAGGTTGGAGGTGAGGAGGAACTTTCTGGCTATGGTAGTGGTCAAGCATTGGAACAGGCTGCCTGGGGAAACTGTGGAATCTCCATCCTTGGAAGTTTTCAAGACCAGATTAGATAGATACTTGGCTGGGATGATGTAGTCAGGGCTGATCCTGCCTTGAGCAGGGGGCAGGATTAGATGACCTAGTGAGGTCCCTTCCAGCTCCACTTTCCTATGAATCTCTGTCATTTTCTATGAAGGTCTGAGGTAGCTTGTTAAAGAACCATTTGGTTCTTCAACAAAGCAGCTTGTTGTAGAGGCTGCTTGTGGTTCAGCAGCCTTAGTCTGAATGTTGCTGCTTTAGATGTTGGTGGAATACAGTAGGGCAAGGACTATTCACCAGCAGCCTGAATGGCATGTGCAGCTTTTTGAAGTAATTTCAGTGCCAATAGAAGACTTGGCTCATGTCTACTTACTCTTTTCTTTAAATGCCTCTCCAGAGACATTTACGTTTGGGAAGGAAGATGCTAGAAAAATGGAAATATCAAAAAAAATGCTCTTAGCTACCAAGTAAAATAATGAACAAATACTTAACAAGTATCAGTTGCCCAAGTGAGCCCTGCTGCCTGCAGCATTTCTGTGCCTGTGGTGAATCCACGCTGCCTTACAGTATTTAAACAAATTCCATAAGGGAGTAGAAACTCTTGTGTTTTCACCTGTGCAGAATCTCACTTCTCAGGAGAAAGTCCATAGCCCTTTTTCCCAGGAAAAAAATAATTTATATCATTTGCAAAAGTTCAGCTGTCTTGGGGAAGCAAATGGCTGTGAGTTTCCCCGCTCCTTTAGAGTTTCTGAACGTTCATGTAACAGGCGTGGCAGCAACTTAATGGGAATAGGAGGGATCACATCACACTTTTGCCAATATTGTTCTCCAGAAAACAGGTTTGATGAAGAGACAGCTGCTTCTAAACCAATAGCAGTCACTTCAGAAGCAGGAAGGGCCAGGTTTCCTTAACACAATAACATCATCCAGCCCAAAGAAAGAGACAAAACCAACAGTTACCTATCAGCAAAAGGCAAGAAATATGTTTCCCTATTTCTCCATAAATTCCTTCCAGATGGCAATGCTGATGTTCAGTCCTAGCAACTCCTGTGATGGCAGCAACATCAAAGAATTCACAGGCAAGGGAAGCCAAGTATACTCTTAGTAATGAACTTCAGAAATCAAGAATGATGGACAGGTCAGCAGCAGCCCATACACCAATAGCATCAACTTCATATTTGGAGAGGAATCCAGATCATGGCTGCATTAATAACATTTTCCATTATAGTAAAGTCTGTGCCCTGATGCAGTAAAGTAGTTTTGATGATTTCAGTGAAACTGTTCAAACTCTTACGGTTAAGATGATGATTAAGTGCTTTGTTGGATCAGGGCCCAGTGGGCTGCAGACATTCACTGTGGGAGAGATGGCTGAGTATTAAACTCTTAGCTCATAGATGCCTATGTGCAGGACAGAGAAATGAACAAGTAGGATACAGCAACAGACACCCATCATTAAATCCTTCTCTTTGTTTGATGGCTGAGTATAGGGGATTAGGGCACTGTCCTTGAAATTAACTTCCAAACCAAACAAGATTTTTTTTTCAGTATTTAATTTCTCTCTGTAAAAATAACAACTATTCCAAAACCACTTCTGTCTTGCCCTCCTCATTCTTCCTGCAGCACTGTTGATGCACAAGAGCTTGGCTTGTAGTGGCATCAAAATGCCTGTAATTAACAGCTTTTGCCTCAGATATTTGGTTATGTTTTGGGATAGGAAGCTGAAGCTAACAATCTAGGGAGACCTTGTGATTCCACTGGATCTGCCTGATCTTACTATCTCCTTTTGAATCTCTTCACTCTGTACTTTTGTCAAATGTCCCAATGTCTTGTTTACTGATTTTTAGGGAAGATTCTCTCTCTGGTAGCCTGGATCTTTAAAACATTTTTGAAAACCCATTAGAGTTAATAGACTTTAATTTGTTGTTTGAGAGTTACTGAACTCTGGTTCTGATAAACTTCTTTGGAGGATGGACTTCCTTTGGAGCTCTGCTGTTGTGGAAACATGGAGATTTCAGTTTCAGAACTAGCATTTAGACAAGACTTGAAACTACTATGGTAGGGCCAAGTGGAGGGTGGAAAGACTGTCTCAGCATCTTGACATCCTGGAACATTCAGCTCTTTAAAGATCACCACAAACCACTCCTACTGCAGCAAACTTAAATACAAGTAAGATTTAATTGGTAAGAATGAAACCAGTATAGCCAGATTACTTGGCAGGTCTGTCTGCATCTTGTGGTACTGAAGTCTGAAGGTAACAAAGACATGAGTACCTATTACAAGGTCAAGATTCTGAGTCTGCCAAGCATCTGAGCAGGTACCCATTCTCACTACATGGTGGGGACACAACTCTGTCCATTATTATAAATATTTAGTCCAGGTTCCCACTCTCTCAAGTGCACAAACTAGCATGGTCAGGCCTAATGGCTTCCCACAGATGTCAAGAATCGAGGAAGAGAAAGATGAAACCATTCTGAGCTCTACCAGTAAGAGCGGCCAGTTTGCTAATCATCACCCTTAGGGATCTCTTTGGGAGGAAAAGCAACCTCAGTAAAGAGCCACTTTCCTATGGTCAGTGGTATGTTGAAAGCATAGGGTAGGTGCAATACAATAAGCATGAACAATTTTTGTCAACATTATCTATGGCTTAATGACAGTAGTTCTGTCCCTTGTTCTAAACCCATATTGAATCAATGGGCAGAGAAGTTACTGAAACCTAGCTAGCATAAACCATCTCCACCAATTTAGTAATGGAAACAATGTGCTTATTGGCAATAATACTGTCCAAAGAAGCTAGGCTTTCCCTAAATACTGCTTGTTGCATATGACTGGAAGCTTGCCCTTGCAAGAGGGGTTCTTGGCAAATCTAATTAATAATGGGCCCAATGTTTTATGTAGTCCATGAATGAGCAGTATCTCCAAGAAAACTCAGGAAGCAAAACTGGACAAACAATACAGGTAACCCTAACCCATTGTTTCAGCTTCCTTCTAAGATTGTTGCCCCAAAAATGCTCAACCTGGACCAATCCAGTCAGTTCCACCTGAAAAAAAAATTGGGACAGTTTTCACTGCGAAACACTTCACACTTACCCTGAGACTTCCTACAGGTTGAAAAAATTCCATTGGTCCAGATTTTGCAGAGGCCATGGCTAAGTAGACATGGCATGTTTTGCCTTCATTATTGAATACAGATAATCTGGGCCACTACTGAGTGGATGTAGAGCAAATCTTCCCTCACCAGTGCTTCAGCCAGTAAGCAAACCCATAGAAATCCAAAGGTTCCTTTTGTCATCTTCTATTTAGTACATCCATTGTATTATAGTAAAACAAGGCATATTGTCACATACATGTGAACTAATATTGGTTTTGTGCAGTTGTATAGTTTGATGTGAAAAAAGCCAACAATTCACACTTTGTGTTTAAGTTAGAACATGATCTTGTATAATAACAAACAGCCAAAGAGTTTCTAAGGAATGCTTTCCTTTTTTCCCCTTCCCTGTCTAAATTATGCGTTTTCCAAAGGAATTTGATACTAATCCTGTCAAATATTTGGCATTTGAATTAAAGATCTGCAGTTAACACCTAGACATTGATGGGTCTATTGTTATCTTAAACTAGATAGTTTATTTTATAATTTTATCTTGGAATTATTTGTAGTGTAAATCAAGCAAAAATAGAGTGGACAAGAATTTTAAAGACTGTCCACCTTGTTCTTCATTGTTGAGTTTCCTCTTTAATATGTTTGGCTTTTTAACATTATCTTAAAGTTTTTTATTTGACCTTGGATTAATCGTTCCTAAAAAAAAAAAAAAAAGAAAGAAAGAAAAAAAAGAAACTATACTATAGTAATGTGAGAGAACTTTCAGAATTTACCTTTTATGCAGGCCCAAACTCCCCTCCTTGGTTTTGCTATACTGATCCCTTAGTGCTGCAGAGCTATTAGAAGTCCATTTCTTTTCAGTTACTTTAGTAATGGGTGGAGGAAAAAATCACCATACTGGCATCAGCATTGCAGTTAATGCCTACCTTTGCACATGGAGGCAGAGGTGCACACCACCAAAACCTTTGATACTAGCACCCTGCATTACTACCAGGACTATTATTTATGCTTATTTCAAGTCATGGTGGATCTGGTGCTTGGCATTGTCAGGATGACTGCTGCAAATATAGTTACTTATGTTTAAATAGTTTGTAAAATCAGAGGGTACATGTTCATGCTGTGCTTGTTGTTTCTGATGACTGATTTCTGCTTACTTTTTCAATAGGTTGACAGTGACACAATTTGGAATGAGGTTCATTCATCCGGTGCTGCTCGCTTGGCTGTGGGTTGTGTCATTGAACTTGTTTTTAAAGTGGCCACAGGAGAATTAAAGGTTGGTATGCTAATAACATTTAGTTCTGATATAAGGCTATTGATGGAGACAGATAGCAGAGCCAGGTCCAAAAAGGGTCTGGATAAATTCATGGATGACTGATCTGTTGAACAGAATGGTTGGAGATGTTTGTTTCCTCTGGCGTTTCTAAACCAATAAATGGTGGGTACCAGGGAAGGTATTGAATAGGGGATATATAGATCATTCTAGACGAGGGGTACTCAACCTCTGGCCCGCAAGCCAACTTCAGCCTGCAGAGCCATCATATCTGACCCATGGGGCTCCCCACAGTTCTAGAAATTTGGTAGCGGAGGAGTGGTGGCTATTAGTACAGCCACTCTCCCCACTGTCAAATCGCCTTTCCTGTGTGACTGGTTAGATCCAAGCTACACCCCTCCCCCTGCAAGCCCAGGCCATGCTTCCTCTACCCCCTGTTTCTGAATCAAGGCCAGGCTATGCCCTCTCCCAAGTTGGGCTGTACACCCACTTCCTACTCTGCAGGGCCCCTTCCCTCTTCTTGCGGCCTGGTTAAGCTCCTTTCCCCTGCAGGACTGTGTTGAGACTGGCCTACCCCTGACCTTTCCCCCGGCCCTCCATGCAACCATATGTTGCCTGCTTTGCCTTCTGGGCACTGGATCAGGAACGCCGGCTGGATCTTGCCCACAGGCAGACCAGGCACTGCCAATCCAGCCCACAGGACAAAAAGGTTGGGCATGACTGCTCTAGATCTATCTGGTTCAATATTTTCCCTCTATAGCATCCATTTTTGCCACTGTTAGAGACAGGATACTGGGCTAGATGGATGTTTGGTCTGAGCCGATATGACACTTATGTTATTAGGGCTCTGTTCAAGAACCACCGTATGAAATTTATGGTCAGTGTTATACAGAACATCAGACTAAATTATGTTAATAATTTCTTCTAGGCTTGACTTAAAAAGACCCTTATGGGCATCAACAAGTGAACAGAAATTTCTTAATTATGTTTTAAGGGTTAATTTAAAAAAAGAAAAAAAACAAAAAAGTATCCTGAGTAGTCATGGTTCCATTGCCCGTGAGGGCTTTGTCATTGATAGCAATGGAACTAGATTTCACTACTGCTTTTTAAGGGGTGTTATTTCAGAAACTTTGATTTAAAAAACTAGCTTCCAGAAATGTCAGACTGACTGTGTCCCTTAAACTAAACTACAAGAAAACCAGCATGCTGATATAACTTTGACTAGAAACCATGACAGTCCATCTGAGAAATCAAAAACTATTGAATAATTCAAAACTAAATTAGCAATTCTAAAAACAATGTGTGCGGATATTACTATAAGAGTAATATTTCTTTGTGTTTGATCTTCCCTTCTGTATTCTTATTTATTTTTGTACGTAGAATGGATTTGCTGTAGTTCGACCTCCAGGTCACCATGCAGAAGAAAGTACACCCATGTAAGTGTCTGTGTGCGCACTAATTGGCTAACTTTAACTTTTATAGCCATTAATGAAGAGAAGTGTGATATAGAGCTAACAAATGAATGTTGGCTTATTATAGATGGTTTTTTTGGAGATTGCTATGCAACACTATCAGATTCCAAGTGCTTTGTAATACTTTAGAAGCAGGAAAGATCCTGATTTCTTATTTAATAAGATCAGCATTAGAATCATACCTAAGAATATTTGTAAAGCCCTATTGATGCAAGCACTTCCATCATCCATATCAAGTGTTTATGTGACTGACAGGAGATTTGTAAGTGAAATACACTGAAATTTCCTTTTTAAAATGGAAAAATCAATAATACATTACTTAAAATACTGTATCGGCTATAACAGTACCCTGGGGGTTTGACATTGGAATGTTAAAAAATAATAATAATAATGTTTTCACGAAGTAAACAAATGAAGTCGGGTCTCTTAAACTCATTTAGTTTTGTAGGGTTTTTATTCCTACCAAATTGAAAGTGTTTTAGGTTTGGCCAATTCCAAATCTGGCTCTAAAGGTAAGAGTTTAATAAAACATTGAACAGTATGTCTCCTTCAACTCTGTATATAATTTATTGTTTATTGAACTAGTACATTCCTGGCTTTTGTCACCAGTGCGTATGTCTTTGAGCGTTTTAATATTGTTTTGGTGTGAGATCAGAGAGTAACTACTTCTGAATTTAAATCAGCAGTGTTCTGAAACTTCTCTGATCAGGTCCACTGCATTTCTTTTAACCTTTCCACTCCAAATCAAAATAAGGCCTTTCCCTTCTTTCTTTGTGCCTACACTACCATGGTCCAACTTGAGTGAGAACACTGAAGCTTTAGAAATTGGTGAGTGGGCAGTGAGTATACTTCGAGAGCATCTTGCAGAAGAGAGTTTTGGAAAGTATAAAAATGTTCACCATTTCCCGTGAGATCACTGAGTCACCTGCTGGTGTGGTGGGGGGGTTGTGTGTAATTGAGCACACGTGTGTCTGTTAGGGAAGAAAAAAGAGTGAAAGCAATAGAAATTTCTTCCTACTGTGTTATGTCTCAGATGATAAATGTATTAGGACCAAGGCAAATGTATAATTAACACCCCTTTTTCCCCCTCTCTCTCCCTCTCATTACCTCTAGGGGGTTTTGCTATTTTAATTCTGTGGCAATTGCAGCCAAGCTTCTCCAACAGAGACTGAATGTTAGCAAAATCCTTATAGTGGACTGGGTGAGTAAACATTTATTCTTCCAAAAGTAGCAATGGAAGCTTTTTGTCAATTTCTTTAAAAAAAAATAAAAAGGAGGTCCAGGATTTATAGCTTAGTGAACAAAATCTGGCTCTAGTTTGTCAGAACAAAATTTCCCTTTTAAAAATGTGTTTATTTGTAGTAAACATTTCCTAAAGGGCAGTCTCAATTTTTTGGCAGAATTTGACAAATTCTACCTTTTCCCCACCTTCCAAGGTAAAGCTTTAATGCAGATAATTTCCAAAGATGGCTACCTATGCTGGGTGCTCACTTTGGGATCATAGGTCCAAAACATTATTTCCATCCTAGTACACTCTCCCGATGAGCAGGGATCCTGGTTTTCTCAGTTTTTAAAAAATCCAAAATTCCCCGATTTTAAAAAAAATAAATAAATAAAAAAAATCAAACTTTGAGTAAAAAATTCAAAATCCATGTTTGTCCATGATTAAAATGAAACACTGCTAAATGTGTATATGTGTGTGTGTATATATGTGTATAAATAAATAAAATGTGTGTGTATATACATGCACGTGTGCGTGTGTGTGTGTGTGTATGTGTGTATATATATGTATATCTATTGAACACAATGTTTTATTGAAATATTTACAATTTAAAAGCAGTTTGGAAGCCTACCAGTGCCTCAGTCATTATAATCAGGGATCCTGGTTTTCTCTGATTTAAAAAAATCCCCAATTTTTGGTTAAAAAAAAGTAACCCCAAATCCAATTTTTCCATGATTTAAATGAAACACCACTGATATATAGAGATAATGATGTTTCATTTTAATCATGGAAAAATGTGGATTTGGACTTAATTTTTTTACTGAAAATTGGGGATTTTTTTAAACCAGAGAAAACCAGGATCCCTGATTATAATAAAATAAATTCTATATACCTATATATTTTAGCATTTGATTTCAGGTTTTTTTATCATGGAAAATCAGAGCCCCCTTCTCTCACCAAGACACAGGTACAGCTGTGGCTGTCACTCTAGCTGCTTTGTGATGTTGAGCAGCAGTGGCGATGCATAGGGGCTTTACGGCGGTGCACGTGCACCCCCTAAGAGCACTGGTGCACTCCCTGACAGGCTGCACTCCCCGCTTAGGCGACAGGCAGTGGGGGCAGGCAGGAGCACTGGTGCCCCCCATGCGAGTGCTGGCTGGGGAGCGGGAGCACTGGATGTAGCACCGCAGCCACTTCCGGAAGCACTGCAGCCGCTTCCCTGTCAGCATGATCGGCCACGGGGGCTCCCCCCCACCCAGTCGGTGAGATTGGCCATGGGGGGACCCTGCTGAAGGTGGCACCAGTTGCCCATGCTGAGCAGCCCCTGATATGCTGGTGCTCTTCACTCCCAAGCTGCAGCCCCCACCCAGCCCTGCCAATGCCCCTTACTCCCAACCTGCAGCCCTTGCCTACTCCCCCTTTCTCCTGGCAGCAGCTTCCCCCTGTGCCAGAATGTGGGTCCAGCTGCGGGTATTCCTTCCACCCCCCCGACACGCACATGCACACGCACTTTTTGACATTGAGCAGCCCTGACATGCTGGCACCCTTCTTCTGCCCATCTGTTGCCCCTTACTCCCAAGTCACAGCCCCTCCCAGCCCTGCCATTGCCCCTCACTCCCAACCTTCAGCACCTGCTCACCCCCACTTCTTCAAAACAGCAGCAGTACTCCCCTGCACTAGGACACAGGTCCAGCTGAAGTTGTCCCCCTTGCTGCTTTCTGGCTGTGAGTAGTGCCGGCCCCTGCTGTTCTGCTCCTTGTGTCTGTTGGCAGCAATAAGGGCTGGGTTCACGTTTTGCAGGATCCTAAATAAGTTTATCTTTGGCTTGAGCCCCCACCCAAAAACCTGGGACAACTAGATTTAAACTAGCATGTCCCGAATAAAATAAACAAACTTCTCCCTTGCAAGCAGTGTACCAACAAAAGCCAGACTTATTATAGGAGAAAAGGGAAAGAAACACAAAATACAACCTAGAGCACTTTTAAACTCTAAGTTCTGTATAGTCCAGCCCCACCTGGGTTTTTTGCTCTCCTCAGCCTTGCTGGTGCCCCTGTTCCCACTAGGACCTCCACTTCCCCTACAGTCCTGTTCAGAGTCCACCAGAAGTTACCTGGCCACTAGCAGACTGTCTGCTCTGTCTTCTGGCTGGGGCTTATAGACTGCTAGTCCCACCTATAGAGGGTCATGTGACTAGCCTGATTGCCAGCTGCTCCCCCATATCCTGGCTCCTGGAACCTGATTCACATTCTTTAGGGTGACTTATGCACTCTTTGGCATCTTTTCTTTGAATGTGATGTCCAGAGGATGACGTAAAAATTCGGGATGCATCAAAACATGAGTCAGTGTGTAGGACTCACTCAATTCGTAATTGCATTTTCTTTTCTTGGAAAGCTCAAAATCAAGTGTTTTCTGGAAAAAAAAGCAAGCAAGCTCCAAGATTTTGTTGGGGATAAAAAGACAAATTGCTGGTTCCCAGCAGAAAATGTGGGAAGCCGTCCCACCCAAGAGAAAACTGCAGCAAGCCCTACTGGAGCCTTGAAACACAGGGGGCCCCCCTCAGCCCTGCCAGTGCCCCTCATTCCCAGCCTGTAGCCTCCTGGACCCCCAGCCCTGCTGGAAGGGGCCTCCAGCTCTCCAGGCCCTAACAAAAGTTACAGGAGGCAAAGTGAGTCTGAACCAGCCCTGGTTGGTCTCAGATTCTCTGCCCCTGCCCTCACTCCCTCCACCTCCAGAAAGGGCCTAGGCTTTCCTGCCCTTTTTGCGAGCAACTTGTTGCAGACAGGAACTTTGCCAGCCACAGGGCAGCTGGTTGCAAAAGGGGAAACCTGAAGTTTCCCACTTTGAAGGGGAAAATCTGTATTTTTTGTACAGAAACAGAAAGCCCAGATCCCTGATTATAAGTTAGTTAAGGCACAAAAATTTACAGCCTTGACCAACCTGCCTTGGCTTAAGCAAGCTCTGCATAGGTTAACCCCCCTGCTGAGGGCTAGGGTGCAGTGTGTGCACATTTGAGCAATCATGAACACTGGCAAATTTCTCTGAATGATTGTTTTTTCAAAAGTTTGCAAACCTTCATTTGGATGTCAAGTGGTTGATTTAGGATTGGGGTATGACAAGTTATCCAAGTTAGGCAAAGTGTTCTAAAATAGCTTGCTATTAGGTCACTCGAGTTTGTAAGACAGCATCAACAGATACCGTATGCCTTGTACAGAGAGGGTATACAAATTAAAGTGTAAACATATTTTCCTTATGGCCTTCCACATGGACACACTTTTCCAGTGTTTCTTTACTCTTCCTTTACATGTCACTGTTTGTTTGTATCAGAATTGCTGGAACGTTTGGAAAATTATGATAATTTGCATCTGAGCATTAACAGCACTTCCATAGGGGAGCTGAGCTGTCTGGTTGTGGATTTTGCCTTTTGTTGCCGTTCATTGCACCACTTTTAAATTGCCCTCCCATATAGCTTAGCCTTCCCATTTCGGCATAGAGCCTTAAATGGATGTTTGCTATGCAATTAATTAATCTGAATTAATGTTCTGATTTATAGTGATTAAGATAATGCCTCTAAAACGTCCATATAAATCCAATTATATCCAAAAAAATACATGAACAGAAGTTGGGGGTTTTTTTGTTGGTGGTGGTTTTTTTAATTTGTTACCTTATCCGGATATGTTAAATTGAAAATAGAACAAGAATCATTTCAGTTATTGTAAGCTGCTTAATTCAGGTTAAAAATATATATATCTGATAAATTTTAATCTGTATTATTACTGATGTACTAATCCTTCTCATGTAATGCAATCTTTCCCCAAAGGATGTACACCATGGAAACGGTACTCAGCAAGCTTTCTACAATGACCCTAATGTTCTTTACATTTCACTACATCGCTATGATGATGGGAACTTCTTCCCAGGCAGTGGTGCTCCTGATGAGGTAAGAATATTATTAAACATAATACCTGTCCTCCACAGAGTTTGCTATGATAGGTAGAAACTGCTGTAGTTGCAATTCAGATTCATTGACAGAACTGTGGGGACCTCCATCCAGGAAGAAATGTCTTGGCAGATGCCTATTGAAAAAATTTACCATCTGTGTGTGTGCAAAAGAGTGAATTTTAGTATTCTAAGAAAATTACATTTAACCTTTAGCATGGCTTGCAAGAAGGAAGATTTCTTGGTAAACAACCATGGTTAAAAAGTCAGGATCAATATAATTAAATTCTCTCCGGTCAGTATTGAGCGATCACTTTTGTTTCACAGAATAAAGTCAGTTGTCCCAAGCTGCATTTCTGTTTACTGGAGAATATAACTCATTGTGCATTTTAGTGCTGCCATCTAAACAAGGCAAGTGTTTTGCGAAATACTATAGAAATGAGTTTATAGTTCCTACATGTGCTCACCAGTACACCACATGAATCTGAATTCCTGAAGAAAGTTAGCAGTCTATCAGTGCTAATAATGCTCAGTAATAATGTAGTGCCCTTGTAATAATGCCCATTCATTACTCAGAGAAGTGTGCAACATTGAGAACAGTTTTTGTTACCTTTGGCAAGCTAGATATGAGATATTTTAGCTACGGAGCGATTGGAATTATCAGACAATGTCCAGCAAATGCTGCTAGAATCCCAGAAGCCTTCTACAAATGGGCCATGCCAATTAAAGTGGAAGTATTTTTTTTTCTTTGACCTTGCCAAGAGATACCCATACTAATATTTCTTTCATTCTGTACTGAACTGCATCCTTCAAGAAGCAAAGTTTAGGCCTTCTCTTTGAAAGAGTACCTGTGAGCTATTTTTTCCTCTTCTCATTGTTTGGTGGAATCTGTTGTTCATTCTCTTACAAGGGCATACTTATGTCTCATGTTGTTTTCCGTTTTCCTAAGAAAATACGGTTGGCATGAAAATGCATTTTTGTTTTAAAACCCACAGTAATTTGCCTTCCTTATAACAAACAAGCCAGAAATTATTCATTGCACAGAATTCTGTAGTTCTTGGTTTCCAACCTCATTGTAAGCTGACCTCATTAAACAATACTGGATACGTGGTTTACCAGAATGGTCTCCCAGAAAATATTTGCCACCAACTCATTCAGTGTTTTGACTTCTTATTTCAGTTTGCTCTCAGGTTATTTGCCTCTAGTTTCTGATCAGTTTTGCATAGAATTGAAACTAACCTCTGTTTAGCAGGTATAAATAGAGAGAAAAGCATATAAGAGCTCATGAATTTATCTGGAAACTGTTCTATATTTAAATAAAGTAATTCTTATTAAACACAATAACCTGAAATGCTTAATATTTTACCTGACTCCATAATTTTGAATAATACTGGGTTAAACAAAATTGTTCCTTCCCAACAGAGATGCACTTACAAATGTAAATATACATATATATATATACGTGCGTATGTATATTAATATAGTTATAAATAAATGTATTCAAAGTCCAGTTGAATAATTTAGCTAACTTTATTTACCCTGAAGCATTATAAAAAGAGCTTGAAATGTCTTAGAATTTCTTACCCTGCCCCTGCTTTACTGTTTTATCATCTTGCTTGTATATCACAACTGGATCAATGGCCAGCAGTTTTGTGGGAAAAGTGTAACTGTTACTGTAGGCCACAGGAGTACCACAAGACCTTAGATTTTTGCAGGAGCCACATTCATGCTGACTCTTGAAAATAACTTAATAACCTAATTATGTGTTAGAAAATTTAATCTGGGTTTGAAAGACATGTCATCCTAGGCACTAAATTATATATTGTAAAATAGGGCATGTAAAATGGCGTTTTCCAAATGTTTTAGGAATTAAAAAGTATATGTTAGTCTCAGCTGTAATTTTAATGTAGGCAGTATAGACCCACATGGTTTTCCAACAGCTGGTATTTACTGGAATTTAGTCGAAGAAAAATTTGAAACTAAAACTCTGTTGTTTATCTCAACTAATGTAACTGCCTGTGCAACTGTATAATACTTCTACGTTCATATCCTAGATTAGCCAGTATTAGGTAGCAATAATATGCCAGAATTTTAGTTTTCATTATAAAATGGAGGCTTACATTTTTAACCAGATGTGTTACTGTAATACCCTATCACAACTGTCACCTATAGTGAAATTTCACACTATAATGGGGTGAGCAAGTGGAAATACAACTTTCATTTACTACCAATACCCATTTATACCAATTACTTTCTATTGGCTGGAATATATTCTTTTCACCAGCAGAGGGGGGCCTCACTCTGGATAAAACCAAGGAGTATAAAATACATAAAAGTCCCATATTTATTTAGGGACTGTGTTCTTAAGTAACATTCATTCCTTAGTTTACCAGTGATCAACTACTTCATATTCATTCATAGTGCTTGCATAGAGTTAAGCATGTGAGAGAATGCGAAAGGTTTGATAATTATCTCCTTTTTCTTGATCTAAGAAAGACTAGAGGGGGAAAAACTCAGTACTGCATTCATAAACTTTTAAATTGGGAATAGAAAAAGCAAATATGGCAGACTTGCTACATCAACAGAATTTTCAAAAATTTAATTCAATATGTTTTTCCCATCTTTAGGTCGGCACAGGACCAGGTGTTGGTTTCAATGTTAATATGGCCTTTACTGGGGGCCTTGATCCACCAATGGGAGATACAGAATACTTGACTGCTTTCAGGTAACATTGATGCCATCCTTATACAAAATTCAACTGAAATGAGATCTTCCAGTAGTGAAATCTCTCCTCTTTTCTTGGAGGGTTTTTTGTGCACTAAATGAAAAATATAATTCCCAAGTCATTGCAATTATTTTGTACATATATAGCTGAGGCTAAATTAATACAAGAGGGATGTTCTTAACTATTAGGCTATAGACAGACGTCACATTTATTCCTCCATAAAAATTTTTATGGAGACACAAAACCCAAACAAACAGATGTTCAGATGCCTCAGGTTGCATCACAAATGCCCAAAATTGTGACCACAGCAATTTGTAGTAATAGTTTATGCCGCCTTTTCATGGCAAACATCTGCTTGCTTGTGGTATGGGAGAGCAGGCAGCTCCAGCCACTCCTCTTTTCCCTAGAACTTTAAAGGCACATCAGCGACCTTGAAACCAGGTAGCAGTGGTAGAGGGTCTAAGTAACATGCCAGACATTAAAATTAATGTAGGATACTTTTTCGCCACAAAGAAGTTTCACTTCCAATTTCTGTGAGGCAGGTTAGCCATTTTTATCAAGGGATAGATTGCTTAAACATGTGGCATATTATGACTCAACATGTAAAACTTGTACTAATTACATGACAGATGTAACAATCTGCCATGAATGTGCAGAGTAAAGGGGAATGGGGTCCAGAATGGAACAAAGCATTGTTCTCTGTTTCAGGGTTGAATGTCCCATCCCTAACACTGAAGACCTTCTGCTTTAGCTTACTCTGCTTACCTGTTGATACCCATTCTCATTTGTTCTTATTCTACATATGCTCTTGGCACTTAATTTGGGCTTGTGTTAACCCATTTTGATTTTTCACCTCAGAGAAGATGAGAAAAAAAAAGAGCCAGAGCTCTGAGTAAGAAATGACCAAGTTGCATAAAAACTGATGGGTTTAAATTGCATAAATAAAATTAGACCATTTTGTTTAAACATTTTTGTTTAAATTGAATATAGTTGAAAAGAAAAGCTGTTTAAAATTGTAAATTGACACCTTACTGCTAAGCTATTACAAACTTTTATTCTAAATAAAAAATAATAAATCATACGTGTTTGCTTCTGAAATGGGGAAGACACTGATTATGCCACAGGAACTGGAGTTTGCTAAAGTGCTGTACCAGCTTTTGACAGCAGTAGTCTATTTTTCATGTTCAGAGTATTTTCTTCATTACAAGTAATTCAATTCAGTGACTAGTTACTCAAAGTTGAGAATCCAATTGCAATTTGATAGTATAGGAAAACTTGTTTTCCTCATCTGATTTATTGAACAAAAACTAGGTGTGTGAGATTCAAGGGTGCCACACAGTATTAGCAGTCTTAGGTGTGCAAGTGATTCACAGAATAGTCAAAGATTTCAAGGTGGAATCTATAGTGTCAAAAAAAGACCACGACAAATCTGACTTAAGGGTGCTTTCCAACAGAAAAAACGCTGTATTATTTTTCCTTAGTCAAATTATAAATGAAGTTAGTTTTTTAAATGGGGTACCACTAAATTCACTTGGAGTACTGTATCCGTTTTTGGGCTTCACACTTCAAGAAAGATGTGGACTGACTGGAAAGAGTCCGGAGAAGAGCAACAAGAACGATTAGCAGTTTGGAAACTTAGGAGAAAAGGCTGAAAGAGCTATGGCTATTTAGTCTGGAGAAGAGAAGATTATGAGGAGGTTTCATAACAGTCTTCAAATATCTGCAGGGCAGTTAGAGAGAGGATGGAGACGGACTTTTCTCTGTGGCTGTAGGGGATAGGACTAAGAGACATGGCATCAAGTTGCAACAGAGAAAATTCAAGTTGTAGCTCAGGAACAGCTTTTTGACTGTAAGGGTAGTTGAGCATTGAATCAGGCTGTCTAGAGAAGTTGTGTATTCTCCATCCCTGGAAATTTTCAAGAGCAGATTAGGCAGATACTTATTTGGGATGGCTTAGTCAGGGATGATCTTATCTTGAGCTAGGAGCTGCACTAGATGCCTTGTGAGATCCCTTCCAGCCCTACTTTCCTATGATTCTATGACTTGCTCCATCTTGGAGGTGACTCAGTGTGGTCGTGGATCATATTCTTTCCTTACTGTCCCAATAAATTCAGTGAACTCGGTTATTTCTCTCTTTATTTCAGAGACTGTGGCTAGATGGGGCTGAGGTATGGGATAGTGCAGGATTGGCTGGAGGGCCACTTAAGGAATGTTAAGGAGCTGTTTTGTGGTGGGTTGGGGGGAAGGTGCTGACCCTGGGGGGCGGAAACTGATCCTAGCTGGCCCTAGACGCATCTGCCTTGCACCCACCACCAGGGGCATTAGATGGAGCACATGGGCAGGGTTTTCATGGAGACTGGCCTAGAACCTCTGTGGACAGGGTGCACTCAGCCAGGAGGGTGGTATTGGGACCACAGGTAGGGGCAGAGCAGTGTCCGGCATGGAGAAGGGCCAGGACCAGGATTGTGGGGCAGTAAGATAGCATGGCGCCAGGGCCCAGGGAAGAACCGCAATCCCCTCGCCACACGTCCCTGCCTGTGGAACTGGGGTTCATCACAGGGACGTGCAAGGAAAGGATCATGGCTCTACCTTGGGCCCCAGCCCTGCACTGTCACTGCCCCATGATCCTAGCCCCCGCCCACCTCTTCTGTTCCTGAACACCACTCCCTGCCTGTCAGTGGCTCCGTGCAGCTGAGCGCACCCTGTGGGGGGGGGGGGGGCC